TGCATAGGACTGATCAATTAGACTGGCTGCTGCTAGCGAAATCACAAATGTGTAGCGGTGAACAAATGTGTGAGGCCAAACATAAAAATTGCTGCGCTGCCTCTCCCAAAAACTACTTTAAATAATTAATTAAATAAATGAATGAACTCCCTACTACACAAAGGGTCCCCACAAATGTGCATGTGCTATAATGCCCCATGGACTGGCAATTATATCCCTCCTCCCCAGTTACTAAATCCCAAATAAACCAATAAGTAAATAAACGACGATAAGTGCTTAACCACTAGGGGACCGCCTGCAGTAAATATACTGCTAAAAGGTGGCCCCTGCGCACAGGATCATGTATATAAACGTGATCCTGCATTCAGGGGTAGGGGGCGCGTGCGAGTCGTGCGACCACCCTACTCCCGGCACCAATCGCGGCCGCGGGTGTCAATCACCAGGTCCCGGCCGGTGATTACCTGCCGAAGCCCGGCGATTGCCGGCATTCACTGACAGAGAGGAAGGCTGCATTGTTTTCAACGGAGCTTTCCTCCCTCTCAGCTTTCAGCACACTGTTCCAGGATCGCTGGTCACAGCCTTCCTGGACAGTGTGTAACAGAGAGGCACACACCCCCCGCCCCCTAGTAAAATACTCCCCTCACACAGTTAACCCTTTGATTGTCTCCAGAAGTCAACCCTTTCCTCCCCAGTGCCTTTAGTACAGTGTCAGTGTTTTTTTTTTTGCACTGATCACTGTATTGGTGTCACTGGGGATGTCAGTGACCCCAGGTCAGTTCCCCCCCAGTGTCAGAATGTCCGCCGCAGTCCCGCAGTCTCGCCATAAGTCGCTGATCGCCGCCATAAGTCGCTGATCACCACCATAAGTCGCTCATTGCCGCCATAAGTCACTGATCACCACTATTATTAGTATAAGAAAAAAAATTCAGTATCTATACCGCCATTTGTAAACTCTATAACTTTCACGTAAACCAATTAATTTCCACGTATTTGGATTTTTTTTAGCAAAGACATGTCGCAGAATACATTTTGGCCAAAATGTTTGACCAAATTTGATTTTTAAATTTTTTTTACTGGACATGTTTTATAGCAAAAGTCCAAAAATATATTTTTTTCCTCAAAATTGTCAGGCTTTTTTTTTTATAGCGCAAAAAAAAAAAAAAAAACGCACAGGCGATCAAAAACCACCAAAAGAAAGCCCAATTCGTGGGGAAAAAAATGTAACTTTAATTTTGGTGCAGCGTTGCATGACCATGCAATTGTCAGTTAAAGTAACGCAGCGCCGTAACACAAACCGCTTATGTAACCGCTTCCTGACCGCCCTATAGCAGAAATACTGCTAAGGGCAGCACAGGTGTGCAAAATCACACATATATATATATATATATATATATATATATACACGTGATTCGCGCTCCCATGGTTTTCTCGCCCCTCTCAGATAGCGTCAGATTGCCTGTCAGTACACCAGTAATCACATTTAAGCCCTTGATTGCCAGGAAGACGCTTATACACAATAAACCTCCATTGCTAGTATAGTGTCTGAACGGATCAATATCCGTTGCCAGTAAATTGTGATGACTCTCATATACAGCAGAGTGCCAGTACTAGTGCCGCGCTACCTTTTGGTGAACTGGCGAGCACCAGCAGTCTAGTACATCCTGGTCTTTCACATACCTCTTAGATTGTAAGCTCCCAGGATCAGGCCCTCCTAGCCATCTTGTATTAAACTGTATTGTTGCTGTATTGCCTCCCGTTATATTGTAAAGCGCTGAGCAAACTGTTGGCGCTATATAAATCCTGTATAATAATACCAGCACTGCAGTATGACCTGGCGACATGGCGAGTCCCATAAGTTCAGTACAAGCTTGTGCGGTGGCAAGCACAAGTATTATCCCGCAACCACCAAAGAATTCGCACACAGGCCCATAGAGCTCCTAGTATCCTTTCAATTGGCAACCCACAAATTCTGCAGCACCCGTACTTCCCCCATTCATTGCCCAACCCAGAACTCAGGCGGAAACAGCAAATTTAACTACTCCCCTTGATTTTTTGGAGCTGTTTTTCACAGAAGATCTGTATGCATTGACTAGACTGTGGATCAAAGCATTTTATATGCACAACAATGTATCACCGCCAACCCAAATTCAAACCTTGCCAGGCCATTCGCATGGAAACCCAGTACGGTTTTCGAATTTATATTTTTTTGGGCCTAACCCTCAACATGGGCATTACTAAAAAAAATGAATTGCAGTTGTATTGGTCAACAGACCCCATTAATCATATGCTGTGTTCTCTGCTGCAATGGCCAGGCATAGATATGAGAGTATAATGTGTTTTATGCATTTCAACGACAATACACTCGTCGTCCTTGAGGTGACCCTGAATTTGACGTGCTCCAATAAATTCAGCCCCTCGTAAATCACCTTAACCAAAAATTAGCAGATGTCTATACTCCCCAGCAAAAAAATCTGCATTGATGAGTCTCTCATTCATTTTTCTGGCCGTCTTGCATTCAAACAATTTCTCTCCAGCAAGCGTGCCAGATATGGGGTGAGGATGTAGAAGACCTGTGAGAGGACAACAGGCTATATTTATAAGTTTCGGATTTACAAGGGAAAAGATAGTCACGTGGAGCCCCCTGGATGCCAGGACTATGTACAAAGGGGGCAGTGGCAAGATAGTTTGGGACTTGGTGTTATCCTTTTCCATATGGGGTACCACTTATACGTGGACAATTTTTATTCAAGTGTGCCACTATTTAGACATTTGTACAATCTTGGAACTGGCGCATGTGGCAAAGTGTGACCTAATGTGTGCCCACCATTAGAAGTGGGTGGATGCAGGGCGGTATATTTTAATGGTGGGCATACCACACACTTTTTTTTTTTGGCAGAGATTTCTTCTCTTTTTTCATTCAGTCCACAGGCTGCATACAAAAAAAAAAAAAAAAAAAGAACATAGCCTATATCTCCAACAAGGACCAGCGGCGTACTGGTACATCACTGGACTTTAAATGGTTATACCAGGATGATGCCTACAGCTGCAGGCATTATCCTGAAATCATTTTTTCAGCTGGTGATCGGCTTTCATGTAAAATTAATCCTAGTGGCTAATTAGCTGCAGGATTGCTTTTACAAGCAGTGGGAGACAATGCCCCCCCCTCCCCCGCTGCCTTCCACGGCCTTTTCGGGCAGTCCCGTGCAGGGGCGGACTGACCATTTGGAAATTCGGGCACTGACCGAGGGCCTGGGGTCAGTAGGGGGCCCCATGAGATGCCCGATACCTTTTTCATAGGCTTTTTTGAGTTTGGGCAAGGACACAGGGGCCCCATGAGTTGTCAGTCCGCCCCGGTCCCGTGCCATCGGGGGGGAACCTGAGAATGCAGCCAGTATTTCTGCCAGCTGACCATAGAGCTGATTGGAGACCAGAATGGTGCCAATCATCTCTATAGCCTAAGAAATCAGAAGCTAAGAGCATTTCATTACATCAGTTTTGCAGGATATAAACAGCGCCATTTGCAAATTGGGAAAGCATCTGATCACACGATCGATCTGGTTTGATTGGATAATGTAAGGGCAGGGGAGATATCTAGAGTCTGATAGAACCCAGATTTCTGAAAAAAATAATATATGACAATGCCCATTGAAGTTATAGGGGTTATTTGCATCCCCTGTGATAGCATTAAAAGTGATAAAAAAAGAGACAGTGTAAAAAATAATTAAAAAAATCCAAATAACTTTAAAAAAAAAAAAAAACCCCCCCCCCCCCCCCCCCGCACGCACGCGTGAGCCTTGACCCTGTGCCAATATGGAAACAGCAGTTGCACCATGCATGTGAGATATCGCCACCAACGTCAGATCAAGGGCAGTAATTCTAACACTAGACTTCCTCTGTAAATCTAAAATGGTAGCTTGTAAAGGCTTTTAAAACGTTGCCTATGGATATTAAAAACGTATGCAGTTTGTTGCCATTGCACAGGGCATGCACAGTTTTAAAGCATGTCATGTTTTGTATCTATTTACTCGGCATACCATCATTTTTTATATTTTATCAAATAATTGGCCAATATATTGTGTTTTTGTGCATTAAAAGGTAAAAAAAAAAGTGTATTTTTTAAAAAAAAAATTGCGTTTGAAAAATCGCTGCACGAGTACTATGTGACAGAAAAAAAATTGCAGCACCCACCATTTTATTCACTAGGGCAGGGGTCTGCAACCTTTAAGACATAAAGAGCCACTTGGACCCGTTTCCGAAGGGAAAAAAAAGACTGGGAGCCGCAAAACCATTGCAACATTTATAACAAATCCGACACTGCATATATTGCAAAAAGCACTCTGGTCATGAAGGGGGTTTAAGGGCCCAGTAAGCAAAGGGTTAATCAGGGCCACAGTGTATCTTCATAATCACAATCATAGCCTTAGGTCAGTGGTGGGCAACCTTTTTTTTCAACTGAGCCAAATCTCGCCAAAACCACGATTGAAATTTATTTTGACAGCCACATTTTTAAAACTGAAAATACATCCCCCATATAGTAATTCATCCCCCACATAGTAATTCATCCCCCACATAGTAATTCATCCCCCACATAGTAATTCTTCCCCCACATAGTAATTCTTCCCCCATATAGTAATTCTTCCCCCATATAGTAATTCTTCCCCCATATAGTAATTCTTCCCCCATAGTAATTCATCCCCCACATAGTAATTCATCCCCCATAGTAATTCATCCCCCATAGTAATTCATCCCCCATAGTAGTTCATCCCCCATAGTAGTTCATCCCCCACATAGTAATTCATCCCCCACACAGTAATTCATCCCCCATATTGTCTCAATTCACTTACCTTTGCTCCGCGCGTTCCTCTCGCTGTGTTCCCGCGCCGTTCTGGTCTTCAGGGCGGACTGAGAGAGGAGTTCGTCACTCTGCCCCGCCTACATCCTGGCTGCCCCACCTACATCCTGACAGCCAATGTTCCACGCTCCGCGGGCCGGATTTTTTGAGGAGGGAGGGGAGCGGGCGCCCGGCACACAGAAGAGCCGCATGTGGCTCGCGATCTGCGGCTTGCCGACCACCTGGTGGGCAGTGTGCTCCGGAGCCGCAGCAAAGATGAAAAAGAGCCGCATGCGGCTCTGGAGCCGCGGGTTGCCGACACCCGCACTAGGGTGTTTGCTTTAAAAAAAAAATATATAATGTTTGAGTTTTAACTTAATTTCCTAGCAAAAATACTGATTTTTTTTTCATGTGAACAAAAAGTGTCAGAAAAGGCTTGGTGGTTAGAAGAGTGAATGATGTGTGGCATAAACTTCTACTGCTGGGCATAAAATGCCCCCACCCCCCAAAATGACCCCTTTTTGGAAAGTAGACACACCAAACTATTACTAAATACATTCTGTTCTTCTCCCGAGTATGGGGGTACCACATGTGAGAGACGTTTTGGCAGTCTAGCCAAGTACAGGACCCCAAAATCCAATAAGCACCATCAGGCTTTTAAAGGGCTTTATTTCCTCATTACACTTCCTAACTACCTATCACAGTTTCGGAGGCCCTGAAATGCCAGGATAGCACCAAACCCCCCCAAATGACCACTTTTTGGAAAGTAGACACCCCAAGGAATTTGATAAGAAGCATGGTAAGTATTTTGCAGATCTCGTTTGTTGCCACAAGTTTTTGGAAAATGAAGAAAAAAAACAAAAACATGTTTTTTTCTTTTCTTTTATATGTTTCTAAACCTTGTGAGAAAAAATGAGATCTGCAAAATACTCACTATGCCTCTTTTTAAATTCCTTGGGGTGTCTACTTTCCAAAAAGGGGTCATTTGGGGGGGTTTGGTGCTATTCTGGCATTTCCGGGCCTTTCGAATCTGTGATAGGTAGTGAGGAAGTGAAATGAGGAAGTTACGTACCTTCAGGCTTTCAAAGTGGTCATTGGATTTCATGCTCCTGTATGTGGCTAGGCTCCCAAAAAGTCTCACACATGTGGTATCCCCATATTTGGTAGAAGTAGCAGAATGTATTTTGGGGTGTAATTCCACATATGCCCATGGCTTGTGCAAGAAATATATCATTTAAATGACAACTTTGTGTAAAAAAAAAAAAAAAAGTTTGTAATTTTCCAGAAACTTGTGGAAAAAAAAAGAAATCTTTGATGGACTCAAAATCCCTCTCAGCAGATAGCTTAGGGTGTCTACTTTCTGAAAAGGGGTCATTTGGGGGTGTTTGTACTGTCCTGGTAGTTTAGCACCTCAAGAAATGTGATGAGCAGTCAGAAAGGAAAAGCTGTGCAAATTCCATTATCTATACCAGGGGTCCTCAAACTACGGCCTGCGGGCACCATGCGGCCCGCTGAGGACACTTATCCGACCTGCCGGCAGGGGTGTATTTGCCACGAGGAAGGGACACTAAGTACAGGGGAGGGCAGGGGGCTGCTGTATCTTACCTGGCTCCGTGTCCCATTCCCATGACGATCCAGTACAGGAACCACTGCTCCTTCATTCACTCTGGCCACTCCCTCACTCGATGTTCGCGCTGCCACACTCGGCTCCGCCTCCTCACCGGTGATTGGGCGCCAGAACTGTAGCTCAGGAAAGGCACACAGGCAGCCAATCACCTGCGAGGAGGTGGAGCCGAGCGGCCCCGCAAACATCGAGTGAGGGAGAGGCCGGAGTGAAGGACAGCTGACAGGTAAGTGTGCCGTGCAGATGATGCTGCTGAAACCAGGTATGCTGGCTGCAGCAGCACCATGCTGGAACAAGGGTCTGCAAGTTAAGTGTCATTGGTGTCAGTGGGAGGAATAGTGCCCCATCATTGGTGTCACTGATACTAATGATGGGGCATTATTCCTCCCACTGACACCAATGATGGGGCACTATTCCTCCCCCCCACTGACACCAACGATGGGGCACAATTCCTCCCCCCACTGACACCAACGATGGGGCACTATTCCTCCCCCCACTGACACCAACGATGGGGCACTATTCCTCCCCCCCACTGACACCAACGATGGGGCACTATTCCACCCCCCCACTGACACCAATGATGGAACACTATTCCTTCCCCCACTGACACCAATGATAGGGTACTATTCCTCCCACTGACACCAATGTTGGGACACTATCCCCCCCACTGACACCAATGACGGGGCACTATCCCCCCCCCCACTGACACCAGTGACGTACTATTCCTCCCACTGACACCAAAGATGGGACACTATTCCTCCTACTGACACCAATGATGGGACACTATTCCTCCCACTGACACCAATGTTGGGACACTATTCCCCCCCCCCACACTGATACCAACGATGGGGCACTATTCCTCCCCCCACTGACACCAACGATGTGGCACTATTCCTCCCCCCACTGACACTAATGATGGGGTACTATTCTTTCCACTGACACCAATGATGGGGCACTATTCCTCCCACTGACACCAATGATGGGGCACTATTCCTCCCACTGACACCAATGATGGGGCACGTTTCTTCCCACTGACACCAATGATGGGGCACGTTTCTTCCCACTGACACCAATGATGGGGCATTATTCCTCCCACTGGCACCAACGAAGGGGCACTATTCCTCCCCCCACTGACACCAACGATGGGGCACTATTCCTCCCCCCACTGACACCAACGATGGGGCACTATTCCTCCCCCCCACTGACACCAACGATGGGGCACTATTCCACCCCCCACTGACACCAATGATGGAACACTATTCCTTCCCCCACTGACATCAATGAAAGGGTACTATTCCTCCCACTGACACCAATGTTGGGACACTATCCCCCCCCACTGACACCAATGACGGGGCACTATCCCCCCCCCCCCCACTGACACCAATGACGTACTATTCCTCCCACTGACACCAAAGATGGGGCACTATTCTTCCCACTGACACCAATGATGGGACACTATTCCTCCCACTGACACCAATGATGGGACACTATTCCTCCCACTGACACCAATGTTGGGACACTATTCCCCCCCCCCACACACTGATACCAACGATGGGGCACTATTCCTCCCCCCACTGACACCAACGATGTGGCACTATTCCTTCCCCCACTGACACTAATGATGGGGCACTATTCTTCCCACTGATACCAATGATGGGGCACGATTCTTCCCACTGACACCAATGATGGGGCACGATTCCTCCCACTGACACCAATGATGGGGCACGTTTCTTCCCACTGACATCAATGATGGGGCACGATTCTTCCCACTGATACCAATGATGGGGCATTATTCCTCCCACTGACACTAATGATGGGGCACAATTCTTCCCACTGACACCAATGATGGGGCACTATTCCTCCCACTGACACCAATGATGGGGCACTATTTCGCTCCACAAGACACACTTGGGAGGAAATGTTTGTGCGTCTTATGGAGTGGCCGGCCCAGTATTCCCGCCGCCGTTGTATGTCCGCAGTCTCTGGTCATCTCCTGTACTGTGTCCGCATTTGTTCATAGTTTTTTTTTTTTTTAACTATAGTCCGGCCCTCCAACGGTCTGAGGGATAGTGAACTGGACCCCTGTTTAAAAAGTTTGAGGACACCTGATCTATACCATAGTTTGTAGACGCTATAACATTCACAAAAAGCAATATATATACACACTTATTGGGATTTTTCTAACCAAAAAAAGTAGCAGAATACATTTTGGCCTAAATTTATGAGAAAATATTGTTTTTTTTTTAATTTTTCTCAAAATGTTTTGTTTATAGAGCCAAAATGATAAAGCGCACAGGTGATAAAATACCACCAAAAGAAAGCTCTATTTGTATGAAAATAAGGACATACATTTCATTTATGTACCGTATTGCATGACTGCACAATTGTCAGTTAAACTAGTGCAGTGCTGGATAGCAAAAAAAATGGCGTAAATTGCAGTATCTATATCTATACCATAGTTTGTAGACGCTATAACTTTCACACAAAGCAATCAATATACATTTAGTGGGATTTTTTTTTTACCAAAAACATGTAGCAGAATACATTTTGGTCTAAATTTATAACGAACTTTGAGTTTACTATATATTTATAGCCAAAAGTAAAAAATATAATTTTTTCTTCAAAATTTTCTTTTTTTTTTTTGTTTATAGCGCGAAAAATAAAAAGCACACAGGTGATCAAATACCACCAAAAGAAAACTCTATTTGTGTGAAAAAAAGGACATAAAGGCCTGGTCATTAAGGGGGGTAAATCCTCTAGAGAGCAAGTGGTTAAACAACAATAGTGCTAAAAATAGCACATATACAATGCCATGAAACTGTGTATACAGTGAAATTGTATAAAACTATATATAGTCCCAATAATTGTGCACACATAAAAGTTAAAAAAAAAATTGAAAGTTACAAAAAAAACCCAAAGAAACCCCCATCCACATCCGGTGTGAATATTAAGTGATACAGTAGTAAATCTTCTTATCCATAGCAATTCTCGGTGCATAGTACTCCAATTAGTGCTACCCCTCCAGAGCCTCACTCACCACAGAATATTGACCACCTGCAATGGTAGGTCAAATATCACATGAGATGTTGCAGCACTCTCCTGCAGGAAAGTTGGCCGTCTGTGTGGTCTTGACACCGCTATACGCTGATGACAGACTCCATAGTGGAAACACCTCTAGATCAATCGTTTGTGACAAAACTCCTTCAGAACCTCCACAGTACTCCTCCACCACCTTAAACACATCAAAGGGAAACTTCCATAGCGTAACACCGTATTTATTAGGTAAAAAAAACATTTAAAATTGCACTTACATAAAAACCATCTGTATGGCACTTTAAATCCCAGCAAAAAGCAATTCCTTCTCAGAGGACAAGCATAGTGCTATCAAGCCCCGCTCTGCATGTTTCGTCGTATGATGTCATCAGGATGCTCCAACGTGCTTGTCTAGGAGTCACTCTCTTGACAGAACAAATTAATTCCAACTTTATATGATCAGTGAAAACAGTTACAAGATGATTAGCCTCTTCCAGCAGATGCCTCCATTTGGAAAAAGCTTCCTTAATTGCCAGCACTCTTTATTCCCTGTGCCATCAATCCTTTCAGCTGAAGACATTAAACAAG